CCACCATCCATTATTTTGGTCATTTCGTTAAAGACTCTGTTAAGTGCCCCAGAGCTCTTGGCTGGAAGTTTGGGCAATTTTCAAAGCTTCATAACTCAATTGTTTCTTAACTAAATTCGACCCATATATATCAAAATGAAGATAGGAAAGTGTAGAACAAGATTATACTTATTTGGAAGCTCAATCATTGCCGAGATGGCTGGAAAATAGCCTGAAAGATGACTGCTCTACTGGAAAACTAGAAAACTCGTCGGAAACTACGTAAATTTTAAACGTTCATAACTTCTTCAATACTCAGCGAAATTGAGTGATTCAAAATATAAAATCATACTTCTAGACGAGACAAAGAGAATAGTACCTTTCTCGATGGCTAACTCGTCGTGGTTTGGCCAGAAAATGGTTGGAAAGTGGCTAACTCGACAGCCACTTTCGAGCCGTTTTCTGAGCAAAACACAGTTATTTAGCCTTTTAGAAAGGTATCTTTCTCTTCATCTCGTTGAGAAGTATAATTTTTGTTTTTAAATCACTCGATTTTGTAGAAGTTATGAACGTTTAAAGTTTACCCAGTTTCCAGCGAGTTTTCCAGTTTTCCTACGGACAAGTCACCTTTCAAGTTATTTTCTGGCCATCTTCGGGAATCATTGGGCTTCCAAATGAGTATAATCTTGTTCTAAATTTTCATATCTTCATTTTGATATATTATGGATCAAATTTGGTTAAGAAACGATTGAGTTACAAAGCCTTGAAAATTGCCCAAACTTCCAGCCAAGAGCTTCGGGACACTTAATGGGACCATTTCTATTGATTTTCAATCTCAAGAACCAAAGTGATGTGTTATGCAAATCTCAGAGACCATTTTGAATAAAAAGCCTTGTAATAATGTACTAATGTTTTTTCATTAGGCTTTTATTTTGGGGTATGTAATACTTGAAAGACTGAATGTATTTCTTTTATGTTTTGAAGTAATATTTATGTGGCAAAGTGGTATTCATATGCTAACTTAGTATTATGTTTTCCATTTTTTGGGATCAAATTATGTTTTTCATTTTCATTATTTATTTGATTTAAAATATATTTACTTTAAATGGTAATGGGCCGGATCATATTTCCTGATAAAATTAATGGATTGATTTTGGATTGGGTCATATTACCCATTTACTTTAACAGGTGTTGCACGACACGACCTGTTAAGATATTGAGCATGTCATGAAAATGACATGAACACAGAAAACACGACACTAATACCAGGTCTAAGGTCATCTCCCTGCCATTAACAAAATTGAGTGTAGTCAGGCCATCTCCAACCAATGGATGGCCAGAGGGCTCGTTTTAGCCCTCTGGCCCTCCAAGATTCTCCAAAATATTAATATTTTAATGAACAGTATAAGGCCATATTTGCCTCCGTCTCCAACCGAGGGCCAGATGGTTCGTTTTAGCCCTGTCACAAAAAAACTGTCTTCAACCGAGGACCAAATAGCCATAGGGCCAAACATAATTTATTATTTAAAAAGTACAACTTAAATGTTGTTTAAGTTTCATGTTGTTAAATTTTTTTTTTTTTATGTTGTATAATTTGTATGTTGGTTAATGTTATGAATATTGTTTAATGTTGCTTCATGTTACTTAATTTAATTTAATGTTGTATAATGGCTTAGGAGGTTATAAAAAAAATAGAATTAAAAAAAATATGAAACAAATTTTGTGAAATAGAAGTTATAGGGAAAAAAATAGAATTTAAAATAAAATGAAACAAATTTTGTGAAATAGAAGTCATAGGAAAAAATGAAATTTAAAAAAAAATATGAAACAAATTTGTAAAATAAAAGTTATAGGAAAAAATAGAATTTAAAAAAAATATATGAAAAATAGAAGTTATAGGAAAAATTTTGTAAATAAAAAATAATAATTAAACTGTTAAAAAATATATTCAAAGAATCCCTGTCGATTATAACCGACAAGAAATCCAACATAAGCAAAAAAAAATGGCCAGCCTCGGGCTAGCTGGCTAGCTGGATGCAGCCAGCCCTCCAACCCTCTAGCCCTCTCCGATTTCGTGGAGCCCTCTCAGATTCCAAAGCCCTCTGGCCTAGCCCTTGTTTGGAGATGGTTTTCGGGCTATTTTCGGCCCTCTGGCCCTCTGGACCCTTTGGTTGGAGATGGCCTCATTCCAGAGTTGATGGCCCTATGGCGGTCCTGCTTTATTTAAGCCTGGTGTTTAGCAGTGGTTGCCTAGCTCTCATTCCCTTTGCACTGAGCTCCAACAGCAGACTAGTGCATCAAGAAATGACAATGCTAACATCAAATCTTTGAACATAAGTCACCAAATTAGAGAGAGAGATAGGCCTAACATGGTCCACTACTGATATTTTCAAATTGTCCATACGTAACTATCAATTACTAAGTGTTAGGTTTTATTACAAAAAATTTTGACGATATTTGGGGTAGTCTCTCTCTCATATATTGGTTGTATATTATTTTGTCGTATACCCAATATGAAATCTAATTCTTTAACATTAATTTAATATTAAATTGTGATTAAACACTAAAAATCCCACCGATTTATTTCTAATTTTGATATCAAATTCCGACAAGTGACAATGCATGGCAATAAGAATTTGAATATGGGGAGAAGTTTCAAAAGGGTTTAATTATTTCTAAGGACCAAGTCACTCATCTACTTGCTAGTCTGTTCTCGTGCAACTGCTGTTAGTCGTTAGTCTTTGGTTTCTTAGTCTTTGAGTGCTTGACTTTACTAGGCAACAAATTTTAGGGGTGCTTTCTTAATTCTCATTTTCCAGGAAATTCAAAGAAAGAAAATGACTAGGTTGAACAAAAGGCCAACCCCAAACGTGTTGTCCACGGAGTAATACTTTGACTCAAGATGTGAGTGGTGGCTTCAGGGTTGTTAGAGAAGTTGATGCCATGACAATTGGGTGCTTGAGAAATTTCTTCTCATATACCCAATGCTAGTTTGACACTTGGACATAAACTTCTTTTTATCTAGTATCAGATGAGAATAAGTTTGGTTCCCAACAATGACGTGTAATTGCTGGAATCATCTTGGCTTTCTTTGCGTGTATTGAACACGTGAGAATTTGAATTATTCTGATTCATGATTTTATCTAAGTTTACTATAAATTAAATAACTCATGCGAAGTTAATAAAAAAAAAACCAAAAATATCGTATTGGATAGTTAATCACATACCGATATATTTATATTTCCATAATCCATAAAGGGGTTTCTACATTTTAATACTTGATAAAAATTGAAATTCAATTAAAACTTTATGTTAGATTATATATTCATTATAGTCTTTTGACTAAATTTCTATGTCATCATAAATATTAAAATTCATATTTTCTTGTTTTTAAATATTTAATGCGTTTTTTTGGTTCCTATAATGCCCCCTATTAAATATTTGATTTTAATTTGCTCCATGTTTTTTTGCATTGATTATTGTTTGAATTTCTCAAACAATAAACACAGTCCAAAAAAATATTAGTGATACATTACAAGAATTAACAAATACCTAATTCAAATTATTCATTATCACCATCCAAAGCATAGAGGAAATAAAAATAGCCAAATTATGTATTATACACAATCAAATGCACTTAAACCATGTCCTAATGTGCTTAAATCATAGTACCTAGTCGAATGCACATAAATCATAATACCAAGTCAAATGCACCTAAACCATGGTACCTACCACAATACACCTAAATATGTAATCATAATATCTATTTGAATGCACCTAAGTCATAGTACTTATATGAATGCACCTAAATTATAATAGCTACATGAATGCACCTAAATCATAATGCACCTAAATATTCGTGCCTTAGGTCTCATGATAAAAAAAAAAGTTGATGCTGTTACAAGATACTAAATACATAGCCCTCTTATTCTTAGAAAATGAATTACTAATTTCTCGAATATGAATTGTTGAAATTTGAATGAGAATATAAAAAAACTACTACAAAATATCATATACATCCTAAAAATAAGCTATAATAAACGACGTCCTATGATTGTTAACAAAAAAAAAAGTCTTCATTACAAACATAGACAAAATGGGTATAATTGGAAGAATAACAAAGAAATAAATGACAATTAATGTTGAATTACGTAGGCTGAAGTCGGGCAGGGACTTAATTCAATTGTTAATTTTGCATGCGGTATTTGTCTAAACTAAATCTTTTTCAAGGATTAATATATAGTTCCCTAGTAAAGGGATTCCAAACAAATGAATAAAGAACTCATAAGTCACATCATCTTATCGAACAAATGATCACTAAATACTACGATTTAGGGATATTCCTCTTTACTTTAATGATAAGTTTGATATAAATTGATGATAAGTTTGATATAAATTGATCACTAAATACTATGACCTAGTAGCATTCCTCTTTACTTCAATAATAAGTTTGATATAAATTTACTCCCTGTCACTCTTCTAAAAACCATGGCTTAGCGCCGTCTAGGCATTAAGCGACTGGCTACCGTCTTGATTAATACCTAGATGTTTAAAAATTAAGAAATGATGACTAGACCTTTTGAGGCGCCTGCCTACACCGTCTAGGTTGTGACTCACTTAGACAAAAAATAAATAACTTTCATTTTACAATTTTTTTTTTTTAAGAAATTGTAAAGGACTTGTTGAATGCTTAAATAAACACATATTATATGCTTGTTTCTCATGTTTTTATTATTTTTCAATACTTCACAATATATATGTCATTCTACCTTGTAGTTTATGATAAAATTATATATATTTTAAGATAGATTGATACTTATTTACACAAAATATAATAGATTTACTTAAATCCGCCTAGTCCGCAACTCGCCGCCTGATTAGTGCCTAGTGTCTTTTAAAATCTTGCTCCCATCCCTTAGTGTAAATAATACAGTTGTATTAAAAAACTTTAATAATAAAAAAACTAATAATAATATTCTTATCGAACAAATAAAAAAATTCAGTCCGTTTGAATACCGCAATGAGAAACGCAATAGAGCAAAACTTGTCATTAGAATATTTGAGGAGAAAAAAGGTCACAAAATTGGTAAAAACTTCTGGAGTTTGCTGTCAGTATGCATTCAGAAATGCTTGTATACCTATTCAGAAACGAAAAATACCGCAACCAATTCAGAAACGAAAAATACCTAACCTTATTCACATGGTTTCAATAATCGCAGCTACTGAACTAAACTATGCAAACTGTATCAACCATTTAAAGGTTTTCTTTGCTTCACGAGATCATGTTGTGCAGATCCTGCTTATACGGATTATCTTCACTGACCGAGAAAATATCAACAGGCGCACTGGTAGAGCCAAGAATGATGTTCTTAGATTTACGTTTTGAGGAGCTTTTGTGGTCATCAAGATAGACTACTATAACAGTGATGTCATCGTGGAAGTGTCGCCTTATCCCCTTTTCGATTTTCTTTAAGTCATTGTATCTCATCTCCCTCTTTTTTGCAGCTTCTTGAAGAGCGGCTCTTACTAATCTCTTTGCAATACCCTGCAATTGTTAAGCCGATTTTGTGTCACAGAGATGTCCGAACATATTTTTACAAATTCAGATCATTCAAGTCCTACCGTTATTGTTACTATAAACATTTTAATCTAATTACAAGGCGATGAAACTTGAACCACGACATTTTATGTATTACTACGTTGTTAACTTAAGCTCCTGGTGGAATGCTACTGTAACAGATAGGGGAAAGAACGGGAACTTACAGCTCTAGGGTTTTTGAAAACAATTTCTACCGCTGCGTCATCGGTCAGCTGTTCCCAGAGGCCATCTGAGGCAAATATCAAAAACATATCCTGTGGCTTCAGTTTCCTTGTAATGATTGAGGGCTCTGCTGTCATCACTGGCCGTTTCATAGGAATGGGGTTCGCAAATTGCTGGTATATGGGGTCTCTGTTAAACTCAGGCTTCTTTAAATAAACATCACCAATAGATCTTGACACCTGAAATAAAAAGAACATTTAGACCACATTCTCCATAACATTTAAGTTTTAACTCATCTAGTGCTATCTCTAAACCTACAAACGAAACTGAAATACATAATTAGCAAACACTAAAGCCTGAAAATATGAAACCAGATATTCACAAGCTCAGTAAAGTTTCATAGAGATAAACAAAGCTTCAGTTCTATGCTTCAGGGGGCTTCGTGCACATCTCATGCATGGAAAACAATCACTTCCAACTAACCTGCATGAGATGCTGGATCAGGAGGCGGACGATAAGGTTCCTGGAACATACAACTCTCTTTAGAAATCTAAGAATACAAGGAGCAAGTTGAACAAGTTTCATTGACTAAAGACGGGAAACAATGCTTTAGATTCACAAATTTCTCTAAGGCCACAAAACTTACTCCTAGATTACTGAATCGCAATTCACTACTTACAAACTCATACTATAGGCAGCAACACACGCAATTCATTTCATTAAATGAATCCCACTGTACCTGAATTATGCCTTTTATCCTCCAAACTCCACGAGTATACACCACAACATGAGAATCATCGGGATGTAGTGCTTCAACCTCCTTCCTTACCTCCTCAACTCCCACATTGTGATCAGTGGACATGCGTTCTGCCACCACTGGACTCCTCTTACCATCTGAAACTCTCCGGCCAAGGACTGCTCTCGAGTCCCCCAGATTGGCTACATACAGAATATCATTTGATATTGCTCCCAAAAGGCAGCATGACCCAACGGAAGCGATTTGGGGCATCATCGGCAAAGATCGCTTCACCAAACGCAAAAAATCCTCCTCGGTGGCGCTGAATGCCTTTTTTATCACATCTGGTGACAACCCACCTTGCTCCGTCGCAAATTCTATAATAATCCACAAAAATATCAGAATTTAGAAACAAAAACACAATCAAGTTCAAGTCCTTCATCATATGCCGTTAAATCCAATTCAAATATTCAAATTCCAAGTCTTTTGCTTAAACAAATACAGAATTAAATATTCAAATTTCAAGTCTTTTGCTTAAACAAGAGACAGCCATACTGTGTAGATTAGGGAAGAGATGGCTGTTGACGAATCTAGAAGCTTCGGGACCACCATGGCCGTCATATACACCAACATACGTCGCAGAGGGCGAGGTGAAGACCTGACCTTGATCCTCCAAATTCGAATTGGCCTGAACCACAGCAATTGAGTAGTCACCGGAGGCGTGCGGCTTCAAGTCCATGTCCCAAAGCCCATCTCCGCCGCCTCCAGCACCAAATCGCAACCCCAGACAGCGCTCGAGCGGCCTGTAGCACGAGCGCAGCATACTGTCTCAGTTCGTCGTCTCCGTCCGTGGGTTCTGGGTTGCGTTTCGATTTGGGTTTTCTGCAGCCGTTGCGTTTGAATTTGATGAGCAGATGACTGAAATTCGAGAGATTTTTAGAGAGAGAGAGAGAGAGAGAGAGAGAGAGAGAGAGAGGAGAGAGAAATGAACGAGCAATCAAAGTCGTGTTGGAGACGCGTGAAGAGGGAAAGCAGAGACTTGCTCAATATGAAACAGCGAATGAATCAACGAATCCTACCTTTTATACACATCCACTCTACCGCGTTAAAATCTTACTACTTTTTTTCTTTCTTTTTTATTTGGTCTCCCTTTTCTTTTTCTTTTTGTTATTTTTTTCCCTTATTTTTAGGTCAAAAGAAAAATCTCGCAATTTACTCTGTTGTTGTGTACAGATTGCGTGGTAAATGCGATATGTTTTACATGTCGGCACACGTATTGGAGAAACTCAAGTCTTTCTTTACTGTTAAATTCAAACATTAAACGTTTGACTTTACCGCTCGTTCTCTGCTCACGCTATTATCAATAACAACTTCTTATATGTCTGTGCTCTTTATCGATGACAACTTCTTATATACTCACGCTCTTATCAAGGAATTACAAAATTACTCATGCATGTTATTTTCATCTTTTTTTTGCCATTTTAATTTCTTTTTTAATTATTAACGGTTCCCTATGAATAATTAAAAGTCACTTCGGCTCATGAGAGTACCAAGCGTCATAGATGCATGGTTTAGTTAAACTATATAATTAGGAACAAATTAAATCTTGAAAAGGCTCCCGCGGAGCAAATGAAGGGAAGCACTTCGAGCTTACGTATATCAAGTTAAAATTTTTTACTCTCTCCTATTTATGACACGTTTATATATTTACAATAAATATAGTCGTAAGTCAAGAAAGTTAGAAATACGGGAGAAAAATTGAGAATAACGATCGACTATTTCTCAAATCAATCTAATTCTTAAATTTCTAGCTATTAGATTACAATCTATAACGGTGAAACCACATATATTTTTTTATTTTGTATGCATTAGTAAACATAAGGGGAGTTAATTTCAGAAGTTGCTCCATGAAATTAATTAGACTTTAGCACCTAAATACAAAATTTATTCCCATAAAGAACTTTTAATTTTTTTTTTAATTTTAATTGGTTGTTTTTTGTTTTCCTCGAGTTTTTATCGTATTTTGTTTTAATCAATTAGAATACATGCATCACAACGTACAAGCTCAAGCAACTTAATATTTTTTAAATGGAGTGGACTTGACTATACAGTGACATTTAAAAAACAAAAAAAAAAAAAAGATTTTAGTGTATGTTTTATCTAATTGAACTTTACACACGTTTTGAAAACTAAAGACAATGTTTTATAGTAACATTATTTTCTAAGCGATTAGTTGTGAATTTTGCAGATATGTAGAATGCTTAACTGTTACCCAAATTGATATAAAATTTTTGCTCCAATTACAAGAGGTGGAAATGTGAACCTGAAAACTTGTTAGCAAGTGTAGCACTCAAGTGTAAACACAACCAGTTGCAACTTTACTAACATTGCACATCACTTAATTGCCAAATAATGTTTTATAAAGGAAGAAGTTGGAAAGAAAATATTTGAATGTACCAAAAAAGGTCGTTAGTCAAAATCCAATAAAAAAAAGATGGTTGGAAGAAAAGAAAAAAAAAAGTGCTACTATGTAAAAGCAAGTGACACTTGATAGGCCAATCTAACACTAAATAATTACTAAAGAATAATGCTAAGAAGATTAAATGTTTTAAATTAAATTTGCAAACCAAATGATGTGGTTGTTGATGATTGGATTATTTGTTTTATTTTGAACAAACAATATTATCTACACTAAGGGGAGGGCTTGACTTAGTCTCACAATGGGCTAGCAGTAATGTGATTCAAATTTGCCTTTGGTGAGAGTCAAACTTAAGACTTCTCACTTACAAATGAATAGGAATACCACCAGACCGTAGTACTAAGTGGCATAATTGGATTATTACTGAAGTGTTGATTAGAGTTTAGGGTTTAGGGTCGATGATTGCATTACCCATCACTAAAACATTCATGATTAAGGAAATTAACACGATTTGGAGGTTTGTCACCAACACTATTATTTAGTGGTATTTTTCTTTATTTTTCTTAATGTTATATTCGATGCTATAAATACTAAAATTTGATATTTAATTTTAGTAATTCATTGTATGTCTTGATCCAAATTCATGGCCGCCTTTCATATTAAAAGAACACGTTATGGGTTCAACCAAGAAGCTTGCACAGCAGACTATGCCTGTTACCATTTTGACTTACTGGAAGGAAGGAAAGTTCTGCCCAGTTGCCCTGATTTAGAGGCATTCATAACTTCATAATTATATGCAAAGTAAAGTTCCATCAAATTCTCAATAAATAAAAAAAAAAAAAAAAGAAGGGAAGAAAGAAAGAAAGAAAGAAAGAAAAAAGAAAAAGAAAGAGAAAGTGTTGTATCAAATTCCTTGACTTCATCAAATGAATATTATCCGCGTTGTCCTCCTCCAATTTCTGCTAATTAATCTCCTTTAATGGTATGAGTTGTTCGTAAGCCCAGCCTCGTCTACGCTTGTTCAAATTCAATACTAATTACGATTTATAACATGATTTGATATCATGTTTTACTTATTTCAAACAAAATTGCACAAATGACATCTAAACTTTTCGATTTTTGAAAATTATCACGGGGTTTAAAAACAACTTACATTAATTTATACAAATGCTGCGGATTCAATCCCTCTCCTTCTAATATTTAACAATATTTAGAAAAAGATTACGTTAATTTATTTTTCGTTGATCATCGATCAAGACCTAATTGATGCAATGCTAAAAAAAAACCCTAACTACTCTCTCTTTCCTCTTATCAACTCTAAATCGGTAGATTATATAGCCATTCACTTGCTCCCCCGCGACTGCCGCGCCGGGGCCGCGGGGGGGTGGGGTTCTAGTCTTACTCCTTTATCTTCTCATGGATTGTTGCCTATCTATTTTCCATCTTGGTATTTCCGTCAATAAGTGCCTCCTTGACGAGGTTATTTGTGAGTCTTTCTTCATGAGTATTTTAATTTTGTATGGGTGTGTCATCGGCTCCTCTAAGTCTAATTTGTTGGAATCAATAACTTTGTTGATGGTGTTGTGCACAAATTTATGATGGTATGGAACTAGTTGGTTTGCTATCAGTTCCTCTACGGAGCGCCATCTCAATCCATCTTCTTCCAAGGACCAAACCAAAATCCACCTCTAATTCCACCAAGAATATCAATTGAAGAAACTCAATCCCACATCAGTACCCTCAAATTCCACCAAACCCACAGTAAATTCCAAATCCACCAGCACATGTTCTCTAACCTTGTGTTCCTCTCCTCCGGACTCCTCGCCATCGTCGCCCCTTCCATTTCTTGCAATCTTCTTCCTAAACTTCAAGATCTCGTTTTAGAGCTTCAAGATCTCAGAGTCGGTGAGGGACTTGTGGAGGTGGACGGTCTTGGACATGACATTGGCGACCTCGAAAGAGAGAGTGCCGATGGTCTGCTTTTGCGTTTTGGTGGCGGCGGCACCGACACATGGTGGCTCATCTGCTTCAACGCTCTCTCCTCAGGTGGCTCGCAAATCAGAGCTGCTTTAGATCAATTTCAGATTCAGGTTCCTCATATTTTGGGGTTAGGTTTTTGCAAAGGGTAGAGGAGAGAGAAGGGAGGGGAGTGGATAGGTGGGTGCAGAGGAGGAGAGAAGGAAGAGAGCAAATGAGTGGGTGCGAAGGAGAGAAGGGAGGGAGAAGAGAGGTAGGGGTTGGGGGAGATGGGGGTGAGGTAGGAGACGGATCGGGTCTACAGGAAAAAAGAAAACTTTTTTTTAAGGGAACTTTAACAAAAAGCTCCCGATATTGTTCACTTTAACGAAAAACCATAAAAGTCAATCATGGTACTATTCACTTTACCCTTTATAACTCAAAGTTTTCAAGCCATTTTCATTAGTTTTCTTTTTTTTTTTTAATTTTTTTAATATTCACGTGGGCCGATATTGACATGTAGTGTGTCCAATCATTGTCCACGTGGATGCCACGTCATCAATTAACGGAGGTTCTGACGGAAAACTTAACGGATGTATGAAAGTGTCCCATAATTATAACTTAAGGTATCAAACTAGGACGAAAAAAATTCATGCACCAAATGTTGAAAATCAAGAAACTTTAAGGTAGTAAATTGAGATTAACTCTTTATTTTATGTTAAAGTTTCTTTGAATTAAGGACCTCTTGAATGTTATCTCCAATGCCCTTTATGATATTTGTATCATTTTTTAGTTTTATAATAAAACTGGTATCCCTTCGTTTAAGTTTTTTTACGTCAATCACAAGCCTTGTTGGCATGTTTCGATTCAGCACCTCTATTTGCCCACGTTTGTTCACTTTCCCATCAAATAATAATATGTGACAAACATGATTATTTTCATGTTTGGATTTATGTTGATACTGTAGCTTCGGGAAATGACGACGATATTCTTCGCTGGTCTACCAAACACGGCTCAGCAATTTGAAGGAAGATTTGTGAAAAACATGTTCATTTAAGCAACATCAATAGCATGCAATTAACAATTAAAGGCGGAATCATACTTGTATGCACTTAAAAACAAAACATTTACCCATGAAATTCAAAGCCTAGTAGATAGGTGAACCAAGACTCAACTCAAAACAAAGTGAGTTGAGAAATCAATACCTTTGTAGATTCCTCTTTGCATAAGCAAAGGCTAATCACCCAAAGAGAGGGCCTTCATTCCTTGCATCTTAGATCCATGGATTTGGATGGATGAAAAGGTTTCTCCAAGTTCCCAAAATTGAGAACCTCTAATTATTCATCACCAAGGCATAATGAAGAAGAAATGAGTGACCTTGGAGGAGTTTGATTGCTAGATGATCTCTCCAAGGTGGCCTAAATTTTAGAGAGAAAGGAGAGCTTGTG